CTGGGCAATGAGTCGCTTCAATAAAATCCGGATAATATGTTAGTACACCTCTTCGGTAAATAATAAAGTTATGTACCGATTCGGCAAATTTGGGTTAGAACCACTTTAACAAACGGGGTCAACAAATGAGTGCACCCACTTCGGCAAACGGGTTAGGAACGCTCTGAGGAAAAAGAGTAAAGAGTCTGAATTCGGATAACGTACTTATTGAGGATTATACGATTATCCGGATATCCGGATTTTGCCCACCTCTACCACCAGGTCGACGACAGACGAACGAACGACATCTGTTTCTAGATCTAGTGGCTTCAGCTTTCTAGCCTATAATTTTAAGTAGACTATTACCGAAGTTATCTGACGTGTACTCCATGTTTACTTTACTCAACTAAAAGTGTTTACTTTCCTGGTGTATTCCGTGAGACAATTGTTTTTAAATCTACTTTAAATTTTCAGAGCACAGTTTGGAAGATCTTAGGATAATTATATACCTGACTCATTGTTCAACAGATGAAGGTAGGCCTATTTGACGCTGGAATCAGTCTACGTGCAGCTACATGCTACAAACTGTTTCTGATTAATTAAACACATAACGTGTTATGACGTATGATTGTAAATGGAAACATTTTGCGCCCCATCGATACAATTTCGACCATATATGGGGCGTGCTGCTCGGCCCTGCCTGCCAAGTCCAACATGAGCTACGAGGGATACAACGTCCTAGCAGGGACACACACTAAAATCTTCTGTGTGTGCCTGCGGAGCGCCTTATAACAGCTATACCCAAGACGAGACGCCGAAATGTACGAACAGGTATTCAAAAAACATATGAACCGGTACTCAGCCGTTTCGGCAATTTCTGTCTACAGCCATGGCATATCAGCATATCAATACTGCTTTTATTACAGGCTTACTGTTTTGTTCATCTTGGAAGATTAAATAATCAGTTGAACCATTTCAAGTGAATGATCTGTTGTTCTATGATACTTGTTCACGAATAGATGTCTCTCCCTCTTTCCATTTTCTTTATCTAATGTTGAGAAGTGTCGGCTGTTATAACTCTTCAAGGACGTAGCGGACACAAATCATAAGTGAGGCAGCGTGGTCAACTCAGGCTCTCGTCAATAATCAAAATGAAGAAACTTGCATTTTTACGTAGGTTTGTGAATTTTTATCAATGTTTTTGTGGGTTTTTTTGCTCAACACCTGTCATGCCTATTAAAGAACTCATTTCTGTGTGGATTTTTCTGAAAAACGGTGATTAAAGGCACAAAGAATGTAAATTTTCAGTCACCACGAACTCTTAAGCTAAGGAAATAACTAATCTTTGGCGGCCATTTTTTCACTAATTTTACCTCTGAAAACAGGTCACCAACCTCCTTCTTTCGCAAATATCTCGACTTGTGTTCAAAGTAATTGGATATTTTTTTCCCTCTAAATAAAGACAAATGAACAAGCTTTTATATGATATCAATAACTCTACATGCCCAAGAAATGACGAGAGCCTGATTCCACCACGCGACCAGCAGCAGACCTGGTAAGGCAATGTTGCAGCAAATTCTAAAACATCGTACTCAAACCAGAAACACGGTTTAGCTTGTTTCTTAGTATACATTTTATTGCCTATTTTTCTTTTATTGTATGTTTGTAGCTTCAGATAGAGAAAACAGAACTGAAAAGTCTGTACAAATAAGACATTCTTCTTCTTTTTTTTTTAACAGTCTCAAAACAGCGAGTCTTTAAACAAATGACCGGAACGAGAGTCTTCAATGAGTTAAAGATACTAAGAATCAAAATCAGCATCTTACCGTAGCTCTTTTACCTCAGAATGACACATACTATACTGAATACAGTGGACGTGGTTATTGCATAGGAATTGTCTAGCCTTATATAGAAGCATTTAAGTGAAACACGCGTGACATACACACCATGACATACTCATTAAAAAAAATATTAGAACCACTGTGTCCTTTAAAACGACATTCTAAATTGCAACTCACAACAATGTCAACCATTTCTTGTTTACTTCTCTTTGTTTGTTCACGTTTGCAGTAGAAGACCCCAGTAGACCCCTGTGATGAACCATTTAACGAATCCCACCTTCAAGTTTACTTGTGTTTCATTGAAAGAAGACAATAAAAATAAAATACTAAAAAGTAAAGTTTACACGTTTGCCAACCCGGTTAGGATGTGAAAATTCTACACGCTGCTGGGACAGCTTAGGGCAGTATTATGTTGCTACAATGTGGTGCGTGTTTTTAAAAAATTAATTAATGTATTTATTTATTTATTTATTTATTTTGGTTTTTTTTTATTTTTTTAAAATGATATCCGTCTGCTATTTACATCATGCACTGTGTTGGGTTATGAGCATATTAGGTTAAAATATGCACGAAAATTCCAGTAGCAGTGAGGTAAAAAAGGGGTATACAAGCTTCACTGAGTAAAATGTCTTTGCTGCTGTCTTCATTTATGATCTTGAATTTACTAATAATGTATCTCTTTGACAGGAATACTGTGTTTTTCTGTCTATTTCCAACACGTCCATCTCAAACGCTTTGAAGAAAAGTAGTAGTCAAATCAACAACAGCGACAAAAAGAACAAGAACAAGAACAACTGCTACAAAAACAAAAACAACAACAACAATAATAACAACAACCAAACACTATCCAGAGAATCGCTTTCTCCCTTCGGCGTGGTGCTCAACACATGATGTATCCAGGGCTGGCTATGATAAGACAAAGCATGATGAGGCATAATCCTTCGTAATGGAACAACAAAGTGTAACTTACAAGTTATGCTATTGATCAGCGCACAAACGAGCGCAACCACGCTGATAAAATTAATTAAATACACATCACAGCATAACACACTGCATAATACTTGATATCATACCACTAACACTAACTGTGTTATAGGCCTGTGCGAGCAATTCCAGAAACACAGCTTTTGCTTTTCTCCTCAGGAGAGTGATGTTTTACGTACGGTTGTCCAACTAAACACCTTAATTAATCGTGTCACTGACACATTTGATTTGTCAGCCTATTCCTACGGTCGGCTCCATAGCAAGACCACAGAGAGCAAGCGTGCACGGAAGTTCACTTTCCTTGAAACTCATCATGTGAAGCGTCATGGTGAAATCAGGTACTCGTCAAAATAATAAAATCAAAGAAATCGACATTTATCGACACGTTTGTCATTGTTATTGCTTTTTTAAATATTTGGGCTAATTATCTTTCATATCCATGTAAAAACACACTACCTTGCATGGATTTTACTGATAACATTGATCAAAGGTAAAAATAATCATATGTAGTTTCAGAGGACACTCCAGAGAAGTAACCAAAATTTGGCTGGCATTTTCTCGCTAATTCTACATCTGATACCAGGCAAACCACACCTCCTTCTATTGCAACTGTCTCAATGTCTATTTCAGATAAAAGGGTATTTTTCGTGAAAGGCAAGGCAAGTGAACAAACTTTAAGGTGATATCAATGACTCCATATACCCAAAACGTGGTTTTCATCTTGTAAACCACTGTGTCAGATACCAAACAACACTGTAGATGTATTGTAGATGTTGATCAATTTAATTGACAACACACCAATAACGACCTCGTCATGGTTTATTCCGTACCAGGTGTATGTCTTGGTGTGCATGTGCGTTTTGGGAAGAGGGAGAAGGGAAGGGGGACAGAGGGGTATACAGTTAGAGACAGTTTTCAAACTGTTAAAATGCGTTTAAATTCTTTTTAGGTGTATATACCCTCAGTGTTCTCAGATTTATGAAACTGAAGGTCTCAGAGCGAAGGGCAAGAACTCAGAGGGTCGCCGGATCGGGAAAGTAAAAAAGTAAAAGTGAAGTATGTGAATCAAGGTGGAAAAAGCTTTCAGGGGCATTGTAATATACGGCTTCCCTCCATCTCTTTCAATCACAAATATTTCTACTTCTGTTCAAGATGGATGGGTATTTTGTCATCAAAAGAAAGATACATTAGCAAAATTTCATAAAGGGGGGGAGGGGGGCTACACCTGAAGGCTATCTCGCTTATTACTCGGCCAAATTTTAACAAATTTCACACATATAACAAGCATAGTAAGGAGACTTAAAATCCACAATCATATTTGAGAAAAAGTTTCGTTTCCATGGATACGGCGGCCATATTGGATTTTGTTGACATGTCTTAATAATAATAATAATAATAATAATAATAATAATGATTTTTACAATAATATAACATCGTCATGTTCACTTTTATGCATCGTTTCTGCTTTCTTGTTTTCCATCTTCTTCATTGCTAAAGGCATCTGGGATGTAACACTTGGCACTCCGCGTCGCATGCACTTTGAAGACATTGAGTTCGATTCCCATGCACGGAGAATTTTTTACCTTTCTGGTGGGATGTTTTATCCTTCTCAACCTGGTTGGCCCTGACAGGCAGGGTTGAAGCCCGCCTCCTACATTATCTAAATTGGGTATCGACGGGGGTTTTAAAGCACAAACACATATTTACTTTGAATTATAAATACTTACTTCATTGTAATCACTGGTGTAAGTGACCTTGCTGTAAAGCACCGTGACATTTCAGAAAGTACATTTAAGTTACCATGTCGCTACGCTTTAATCGATTTTTAGGTCAGAGTATTATATTCGTGCTGTTACCAACGTTTATGCTTGGACACAACTGAACAACATACGCCAGCAGAGTCATGAAAGATATACACGGTCTCCAGAAGTAATTAACAATGACATTCAGATCAGCATACCTCCCAGTTTTGCGGTCACCTGCAAAAGGCGCCCCCTACCACCCTTCACACATTGCGCGAGCTAAATGGTCGTTTAGTGCTGGGAAAAAGTAAGAGAGATAAACAGAAATAACAGACGGAATGTAACGAAGTAGGACCTACAAGTGGCACCCTCCAAACACCCGCTGTCAAATTAAAGCCGAGCAAAAAGTGTGCTGAATTAGCTGGAAGTTATGAGGTCCAGAAAAATCACGTTTAATTTGCCCTGTAGGTTTCTTTCTTCTTTTTTTTTTTTCTTTTTTTTGGGGGGATAAGTGTTTTACGGCGCTCGCGACTGCATAAGGTACTGTAGAGTTCAATGAAATAACATGTTATTATCTTGGAGACCGAGTCCTACGAAAGCTGTATTTTAAAAAAAGATTAAACCCGCATGGTGGCATGGCAGCAGGTCAAACAAACTGACATAAATTAAACCCGATCTGGCCAGTGGGCAAGAGTTTGGTGAACTCAAGTCTAGAAAATATTTTTTTAGGGAACATTTCCCTGAGAACGTGACAGACAAAGTTAAACTTAACATAACATCAAGAGTTGTTTTGTTTGTTTTTATAAACAATGGGAGCCAAATGCCAAATTTCATCCCAAGGAAGACCAGTTTTCAAAGAGGCTTTTAAGAACACTAACTTCTTATAGTGACGATCTACACAGAAGAATTAGTTTACCTCTCGGGTCAACAATGTAACAAGGATTTTTTATGCTGCTGTTTCAAGTTCGTATTGACACAATTTAGACCATTTAGGAGGCGACCTTCTGGTCCTGCATGTCAGGGCCGACCCTGGCTGAAAGGGATACAAAACCCCAACAGAAAAACAGAGGAACTCGATAAAAAATTATCTCCACACAAGAATAGGAATGGGGTCTCCTGCGTGTGACAACGTAGCGTTTTATTGCTACACCACAGACACCGAGTTGTTACATGGTCAAGTGACGAAAACTAATGTTAGATGATAGGTAGTAGGTATTCCGTCCCATCAACTCTTTCAGGGTAAGTGAAGGGACATGATCTCTTTTTTCTTCTTTTTATGGGGGGGGGTGAGTGTTTAACGGCGTTCGCAACATAAGGCCATATGAGCGCATACGACACATTAAACATTTTTCAGTTAGTAGGAAACTTTTGAATGTTTCCTGGTTGGCTGCCGAAGCCTACTCTTATTAATTCTGGAAGACCAAGAGATATTTAACGTGCGCAACTTGCACACGGGACCTCTAAGATTTTTCATCCTTGTCCGAGGAGGCTAGGTTCATATCTTTCCTACCACAAGATCAAGGGTGTGGCTGAAAGGGTTGAAAGACAGCAGTAAAAAGGTGACAGGGAGTAGAAGTAGAAATGCTGTAGAAAGAGTCAGGAGCCTAGAGGAGGGAGCAAAGGGTGTGAGGAGAAGGGGGGCAGAAAGTGGAGACGTAAGCAGACGACAGAACATTGCTAGAGAGCAGGGGAGGAGGTGAAAGGAGACCATTTTAGAGAAGAAAAATTTCCGTCGCTCTCCCAATTCGAACCCGGGACCTATTGAGTGAGAGGCAAACACCTTAACCTCTAGGCCAAGAGACCCCCCCCCCCTTTCCACAACAGGATCTCCGAAATAATATTCATCTCATATACCACCCCCATTGACACAACCTAGATCACTGAAAAGGCGAATTTCATCTATCAGATCCAACAATAACTGGACAGTACAAACCAGCAAAGAAATGTGTTTTTAAAATCGTTTTAGTAGGTTTTTTACCCCTCCGCAAAAAATGAAAATTAAAAAATCGATGCAATGTAGATCTTGTATTAGTGGGAGAACACAAACATTTCTGTCACCTAACCGTAAGCTATAGGAATCCATCTATACAATTTCTGCACGCGCACAGAGACACGACCAAGGCCTACTCTCTGCGCTGATCTGCGGGATCGGTGGCGGCTTATTTTATAGGAATGAAATGTTGATTCCTACTTACCGAAAGCCGCTGCTCGGTGCAGATGACTGCCCTGCCAGTGGGCCGTCACCGGATGTGTAACGTCATAGGGCTGGACTGGGGACTTCTTCAACTGACCGTTACTCAACAAGGAAGCGACGTAGACAAAATCTGATTAGATATTTGAAATCAATGATCCAAATTCTACAGGCTCATTGAACAGAATTTTGAATTTGGTAGAGTTATTGAGTTGAGAAGTGCGCTCAGTGTGTTGTTAATGTGTGTATGTATGTATGTGTGTGTGTGTGTGTGTATGTGTGTGTGAGAGAGAGAGTGTGTGTGTGTGTGTGTGTGTGTGTGTGTGTGTGTGTGTGTGCTTGCGTGTGTATGTTAAAAAAACACACTTGTTCACATATTTTGTTAATATTTTAACGTGAACAGTGCCTTGGTTTCCGCTGTATGCAAACGGTCTCTCGTATGGGATAAAAGAGATATATTTTATGCAAATCTACATTAAGGTAAAAACAAAAATTAAAGTAAGTAGCATGTGCATGCCAAATCGTTTCTTATTTATTTTTTGAAGAAAGCATGTTGGAATTTACAACACAACAGCCGTTCACAACATGACACTTAACATAAAGTAAAGCCCAACTTGTCAAATCTAGATCTAGTTCAGAGGAACAGCCTACACCCGCTGAAAATTATGTGTCCATTACGTTCTACCCTCGGAAAGATCGGCGCCGAGGCGCTTTTCCCTTTCGTCAACCCGCAGCCACTTAACGAATCGTCAGCCACATAGGCCTACCAACCTTTGACACGGGTCAAACTTCCATCTA